CTCACACCCACCCCACACCCTTATTAATGTTTTTCTAGTTAGAACGACAATCAAAGAGTGCCATAATGAATTGCGAGATCAAAGATAGAGAGTATACCTTGTGTATTCCTCTCTGTTTTGATATATCTTATTACATTTTGCATTTTCATGTGTTGAAAATATATAAGAGTATATCAAAACATTAAGAAGTAGGAGTAACTACAAAGAGCTACAGTTATCTCGCAGCAAGGAGTGCCAATTTATATATTTTAAAACTATTAGCTGTACTAAATTTAAAAAAAACTTAAAAATAATTGAATTCTTTTTGTATCATAATTTTTTTTAAATATCAGTTTTAATAATTTTTAAATTTAAAAGTAAATTTAAATGAAACAAAGTTAATTTAACTGTTAGTTGAAGACAAAAGGATTTAAATTTCAAGGCAAATTAAATCGCGATATGAAAAGATCAAGCTTCTTTTCGATATTAATTTTCTTTTATTTTTGCATTTAAAATTTATCTTTTTAACATAAATAATTATTTCTACTTAATAATAATCAAAACATATTTCTACAAAAAATATAATTTTCTTTTTGACTTTATTTTGTTTAATATTGTCTAAATAATGCCATATTCTGTAAAAGATAATTTTTTATTTAAATGCGAACGTAAAAAACTTTCAGTAAAACTATATTAAATAGCGTCTTAGAATGATTATGAACATGTAGAATTTGATCTGTTGATCATATGACTCAATGGTCTAAACAATGGGCAAGTGTTAATTTGTTTGCATGTTCAAATCTAACCTTCATCTTTACACATTTTCATTTAGACTAGTCTGAACTCCTCCACCACAAAGGGCTACAAATTGTCTTATGTGATGTCACTGACGATCTTACTTTTTCAATTTTAAACCCATTTCGAACTGGTGTCACTGTTTTCCGTCCTAACTAGTCTTTTTGTCAAAAGGTCCTTCTACAGGACTAGTCCCAGACTAGTGTTTTTAGTGAAACAGACTACACTTGTCAGAGTCAATAACGCCCATCAGTTACATAGTCTGGACGGGCACTACGGACGGCGACTGTTTCCAGACTGGTCATGTTACAGTCGGATTTGAGCAAAAGACCATACCTGACGTACCGTCAGTACTAGATATGAGACTAGTCTTTTTACCCGTCCTTTGCTCGCCTGGATGATCAAACGTTTTCAATAGATGCTTAAATTCTTTTAAAAATTTGTGAAAAAGTTTTATCTCGTATTTATCATCAAGTACATAAACTGACTGTTGAAACCATATTCAATGAAACATATTCTTCTTGTTGCCAATTATTCTCAACTTTATTCTTCATCACTTATTAATTTTCAAGAAGAAATACTTTATCAATATTTAATAAGTATACTATTTTATTTTGTTCTTTTATCATTAATTAAGAAAATAATGAATTTAATTTTTATGGAAATTCTTAAAACAAATGATCATTAGACAAAATATTCGTAACTTTTTAACAAAGATAAATAGAGACTTATAATCTTCATCATTTGAAAGAACGAACTGGTAAAGTTCCTCTGTTTGTTCTTTCGATTAGGTCCCGTTTCGTCGAAAGCTTAATTGATTTTCCTGTTTCGTCGAAAATGTATTTTTCTTCCATTCCCGTTTCGTCGAAAAT